AAGTAAGGAGCAAAAAATCGAAAAAAAGAGGTTTTTTATTTTAAATTTGACATCTTTTGAAACGATAATAAAAAAAATCTTAAAATTTGTTACAAATCTTACAGTTGTGTGAACTTTATTATGATTGTAACTATTATATATAATGCAACGTTTTGAGGCGCTGTTTGATTAAAAAAAAAAAAAAAAAAAGTTATTATCTTAACTATCCATGTTTATTGCCGAGATATTAGCTTATCTTTAATTAACTAAATTATAGAAAATTGAAAATTGAATATTTCTTCTTACTATTAAAAACTTGAAAATGTTGGTTTGATGTAATGACTAATAATAAACACACAATGAATGCAGCAGTCATTTTTTTATATCCATTTAAAATTCTAATATTTGTCAATATACAGAACCAAAGGTCATATTCGAGTATGAAAATATAAAAAAAAAAAATAAAGAATTTCCTAATTATTTTTACGCGAACGTTATTTTTAGGATTATCTGCACGATTAATACTGATATCTTATCAATAATTATTGATACTTGATCATGAATTTGATTGTCATATTTTTGCAACAACACCTTATCCTTATCTAAATTTTAAAACTTATTACAGGAAATAAATATCAATAATTAAGATTTTATTTTATATTTTTTACGAACTTGTCAATTATAAATAATAAGTCGCAATAATTAAATGAATTTAAATTTCTAACAAATTATCTGAATTAATATAATCCAAACTTCATAATTCCAATTTTTAACAAATTATATAACATTCAAAAGATATATATTGTAAATAATTAAAATATTTAAAAAATGATCTTCTATATGAAACTAATAATAATTTTAAAAAGTATTACTTTTGATCCGTGAAGATAGAATGACAATTACAAAATTAATATATTTTTTTTTTTTTCATTTATGTGTACGATGCAAAATAGTAATACAATGTAGATGCACTAGTACTGAGAAACAAAAATTACGTCAGTTATATGCGACGTCATCGATAATATCAAGTGGGAGATCGTTCTGTAAGAAGGGAGTGCAAGCTGTATAATATATACTAAATAATGAAGCGCGCCGTATTAGTAACCACATCGTGTTAAAAGCCAAAAAGCTGACCGCGCCTTGTATTGGAAGCAAATAACTCATTACCAAATAAAAGTAAAATATAGTGTATCTTATTTTTGACAAGTTGATTTAGTTTTAATTACTGATTATTTTTTGTGCAATATCTAAACTCAAAACTCAATTTAATAGTGAAAAAAAAAAAAAAATTAATAACAAAATTAAAAAAAAATAACAAATATTATTATAAATTATTAAAGAAAAAATAAATGTATAAACTTAAAGTTGAGTGTTGATTAAAATATACTATAAAAAAACAGGTAGCAATAATAATAATAATAATAATAATAATAATAATAATAATAATAATAATAATAATAATAATAATAATAATAATAATAATAATAATAATAATAATAATAATAATAATAAATAATAATAATAATAATAATAAAATACTTAAAAACTGCAAGTGAATTCAAAAAAATGTGATTGCCGTTATGACCAGGAGCACAACAAATCTGCCAACAGTCGGTCAGTCCGTGTTATTAATAAAACCTGGTGTATCCTTCGTCATACTATGTTAGTTATTGGTACATCACCAGCGCTATTTGAGCCTTTTGCGTCAATAACTTGCACTAGCTATTCAGAATAAGAATAATCGTATATCGTGGTGTATCGGTGTATGTCGTGTCTGTTGGAGAAGTAAGCGAGACCAAGACCGTACCGGAGACATCGCACTGTATTAATACAGCGGTTTCCGTGGTCATTGCTGGCTGTCAATCTCAATCTTAACTCAGTTAGTCTTAGTCTTGTTGTTTAATTATTACTGACCACAAGTATCTTCGATTCTTGTCTATGTGTTCAGACAGGTGACAACACGAGAGCACGTTTTAGTGGGGCCGAGCGAGAGCGGGTGTAACCCAGCGTGTCTCGTTGAGAGTGAAAAGAGGAAATAAGGAAACAAATCAAAAAGTAGGTGAGTGAGTCGTTTATCCTCGCCTCATTTTTTTTTTTTTTATTTTTCACATTCTCACACCATCCAAAAAATTTTTTTAACATCCACACACATTAAAATATCAATTATTGTTGTTATTATTAATTATTAATTTTTTTTATGTTCCGACAGTGATCTGAACAAGTGAATTGTGTCTGTTTTATTGTATGTTATTCAATCGCCGTCAATAAAACAGTTTTGTAATTGATATATATATATATATATATATATATATATATATATATATATATATATATATACAACTCATTACTGCGGTTTTATATTACCTTTACAATATCATTTATATATTACACATATAAGTAAATATGTATATACATGTATACACTTAGTATATATAAATGAGGTTAGGGCGTCCCTAAAAAACGATCGATTCCTTGTTAAGAAGTTTCGTGACCTGCGAGTTTTAATAAAAAAAAAAAAAAAAAAAAAAAAAAAAAAATATAAATTGTGTGCATTCAAGTATTGACTTTTTTATAACTATTTTGCAACATTATTAGCATTGTTTTGTGTATAAAGTGACGTTTACTTTATTTCTAACCTATTTTATTAATTATTCATTATTAATTGCTAATTATTAATTAAAATTGATCCGAAAATTAATATTTTTTGTATTAATCTATTTGGTTTGATGATTATGAATGAAAATTGCTGTTTTTTTTAATTTTTAATTTTCAACAACCATCACAGTTAGTACCAGTAAGAAATGCCGGTCATCAGTGTGATAGACTATTTTAAAGGTTTACTTATATTATTTATTTTGTTAATTTATTCACTTTTTTTTATTACTTAAGTGGGTCAAGCATTACATAGTTCTAACAGTTGTCTTTGTTTATTGGCATGAACTTGGTAGTGCGGTGAAATAAACGTGTTAGCGTTGACAAATCCTCATTTTTTAGGTTCGTTAATACATAATTGTAAAACTTTGAGAAAAAATGTGTACACGTGTCGGAAAATCAAAAAACTATTTTTAAAAATTTTTTTAGCCTTTATGAAGTAAAAAATAGCTTGTAATATTTTTAATATTCATCTAACTTATATACATTCGGAGTTCCGGTTTGTGAGCTTATTGAATTGATGTAAACAGTGATGAAATTTAAAGAAAATTGATCTAAAATTTATTTACAATTAATTTATTTGATAGTCTATAATTTTTTTATTGGAAAATAAGTCAAATAATTTAATCGATCTCTTAAAGTCATACGATCATAACTTTCTCTTGTATAATTAGTATAATTTTGAAACGTCATCTAAGATATCAATTTATAAATTTGTGTATTCATTTGACTATTAAGTATTATAATTAATTTAGCTCACTAGGTATAAAACAACAAGCTTGATATGTAAACTTAATAATGAAAAAATTTCAATTTTTTAATTATTATTTCAGTGTAAAAAAATTTTTAACAAAGCCGGCTTTAAAATTTATCAAGGCACGTTGTAAATTAAATTGGAGGAAAAATAAAAAACTTTTGAAACAGAAGTAGAGAAAATTCAATTTAAGATTTTTTGAATGAATTAACTTTAAAATTTTGAAAGCAGAGTAAGAAAAATTCTATCAAAAAAATATTCTGCTCATTTCAAATAAATTTTGATACAAAAATAAAGTTTCAGTTATTTGACACAAAAACACATAATATTAAAAAAATAATTCTTGTTACTAGAAAAAAAGATGTGTTTTTTCACGACTCTTCTTTTTATTTAAATAAATAAGAAAAAAAATTTCTATTTGTTTTTTCTTTCAGTAATTTGAAAAAATGAATCATTTTTAATAGTTTTTTAAATATTTTCATCTTTTACAAGAATAAACAGCAATTCCTAATTTTGAACCGCAAATCTTGTGTATAGATAGTTTTCTTAGAATTGTAAAAAAAATAAAAAGTTGAAAGTTATCACATTTCAAGGTTCATATACAAAAGTTAGATGGTTAAAAATAATTTCTAAAAGTTTGATAAGAGGATTATCAAGAACAAAAACCATGATAATAAATAGTTTTTCAATAATATGAATAGAATTTTTTTTGTGTCAATTTTATCTATTTTAAGAGTCATGATTAATTATTTGAATATAATTAATACGAAAAATGATAATAGACAATAAAAACATCTAAATAAATTATCAGCAAGGACGTATCCATCGTACCTTGGTACGTATTATTAACTATTAACCACTATAATTGCTAAAATTACGTATGAGCCGATAGGTGAAAAATTTATTTTATTTATTTGTGTATTATTGGTTGTTTTATATTATTTCGCCTAAGTACAATTTCATAACTTCCGAGTTGAGCCCATTAAGACGAGTAAGAACGTGCGGAATCCGGTTCCACTCGCACAACGATCACCGTGGCGTCATAGCATTTCTCCAACAGCAAACATCGATTTGCCGATTATTCTTTACTTACGTAAAGACCCCTCGGCAAGTTTGACTTGTGTTGATTCGAGTCACCGCGGAAGAAAAAGAGCGAAAGAGGAAAAGTGAAAAAGAGAGGAATTCGGTGACAGCGAGAAAGTTACTAAATACCTGTCTCTTTACTAGTTCGCACTTAAGGCAATATTCTTACTTCTTATTTACGATTTTATATTTCAAACTTATAAAATCCTTATAATCAATTACGTATCAATTAAATCTATATTATATATTACTTAATTTATCAATATCGATTAAATTAACGATGATAATAAAAACGGAAAATCTTCAATTTGATTTACACAGATTGTTTTTTAAATTAATTAATAATTATCTTTTTAGATCTTATAGTATTTCAATAAAACTATATAAAATACTTATCTTTAAAACAAGTTTAGTTATGTATTAAATCTTATCTTAGTGTGTAAATAACACCATTTACTTTACCATATTGAAAAAATTAATGTAACGAAAGTGTAAGTAATTGCTTTTTTTTTATTTTCAGAAAATAAAGAAAATGACGACGGCTATTGAAAATTTGGTGCACGGGTACAGAGATGTTATAGACAACAGGTCTGGTAGGTATTGTTTGCGATAATTTATTTATTAGATTTTAATAACATACTCAACGTTTTAAATCGTTTATTTATGTTTCTTATGGTTTAGAATTTAAAAGATTCCAGCAAAAGTAATTGAATTTCTACAACAAAAAATGTTTTCAAAATTCCAATAATTAAAATTTTTCTGTAAAACATATTTTCACTCTTTTTTTTTTTTTTTTTATATATATGATCAAAGTTTTTCAAAGTAAATTCCATTTAACATATTATTAATAAAACATTAAATGTTTCATAATTCATGTTAAATTTTATTTTGATTTAAATCGAACATCATATTTAAGATTACAACTATTTATCAGACTACAGATTATGACTATTTATAACTATTACAGGTCTCGTATTTAAAATAATTAATCATTTATTTCGTGAGAAATTTTTAATAATTAAGCGTTACAATTTAATTCAATATCATAAATATTACTATATAAACATTGGTACTCAAATCAATAGACTCTGACATTTTTTTATAATTTCCTTAACAAAATTTTATGAAAGAAAATTGTTCAACACTTTTAAATTTAGAAAAAGTTTGGAAAATCTAAAAGTGCACGACTCATAATGCTCATTTAATTATGAAATATTAATAAAATATTTTGAAAAAAAATTTATAAAACAGCTAAAATAGCACGATAATGCGCAAACGCCTCTAGTGGGATAAATGTTCTGGTTTTTGTTTTAATTTATTAATTGTACATAATTGACATTGAATTACTTAGCCATTCGTATTCAGTAGCCTATAATTTTCTCAAAGAATTTAAAAAAAAAAATTTAACTCAATTAATACATTTTTTCGCAAGTTACAGTGTTTTCAGAGTTTTATAAATGACGGACAGGAAAATTTTTCTACGTATTTTGATGTTTTTTCAATTTCTATTGTACTAAATCAATTTTTGGAAAGTGTCAAATTAATCTTCATTAAATTATCTTGACAATAGTATGCAAAATATCTTGATTCCGTGAACTAACAAGACTATAATAATAAAAATAGTTACCGAAATGAGGCGAAAAAAATTTTTCGATCGTAAAGCACTCTGATGCTTCGTATCGTGAGTCGTGCAATATCAAATATTTATGACTGCAATTTATTAAAATTAATACTTGTATTAATTGTACTAATGTATTATTTAGAAAAATCAAAAAATGATCAAATGTCTGGTTATTTTAGTATCATTATTAAAAAAAAAAAAAAAAAAAAAAAAAAAAACACAATATTATTGTTTAAAAACAAATGGTTAAAAATTAGTCATGCTGGAAAATAGATTGTTAAAAATTACACCTTGTGAAAGTAGCACAGTTGATTGGGGAAGAACGAAAGAGAGAAAGAGTACGATTAACGAATGTTAAATTGAATAAAGCGTTTGTACGCATTGCGTTTGGCTATGTCATGTCACATTATTACAATTGTGGGTCACTCATGCTGCCCAAAAAAAAAAAAATTATATTCAATTAAACATTAAACTAACGTATAGCAATAACATTTATTTTCTTACTTTACTATAAAATTATCAAGTACAATGAAATATTTATAAACTACCCATCATAACAATGGTTTTTTAATTGAATATCTTAATTTTTTTATGCAAATAAGTTTGAATACTCTTAAGTAAAATACAAGGAAAAAATCTACAGAGTTAAAATTAACGCTTCAATTAAACTTTAATAGCAAAAATTTATTTTATAGTGATATTATCTAGGCCGATGTATTTAAAAAAAAATAACACATGTTCACAAAGATGATTGTGACCTAGTTATTTTTAGTTATCAATTGATGCATACATACGTTCTGCGGTTTACAGTTATTTATTACTTGACAAAAATTAAAATTCCGTACAATATTAAATATTTAATTGATATACATAATAATGATAATAATTTTTTAATTGTTTTTTAGATCCTAGAGTGAAAGATTGGCCGATGATGAATAGTCCACTTCCTACGATGGCAATTTGTCTATTTTATGCTTACTTTTCAAAGGTTTTGGGACCCAAATTAATGGAAAATCGGAAACCTTTTAATTTACGGAGTATCCTAGTTGGTTATAATTTTATTCAAACTTTATTTTCTACGTGGATTTTTTATGAGGTAAGTTCTCGATCTATAACACTTAGTAGATACATTACAACTATTTAAATAAATGACCTCGGTGACACATTTGACAGTTATAGTGATTGCAACTAGTACACGTTTAGTATGTTGTGCCTCGCATCATTACAGTTATGTTTAAGTATTTTGTTGGACAAATTTTTAGAGGTCAATTTTATCCACTTTGTAATATTCCTTAAAACATGCCATAGCTTATTGTAATTTATCAAATTTTCTTATCTTTTAAATAATTAGATTATTGTTGTTAGTCTGAGGTTCGAGATCCACGTTTCAGAAGGTGTCCAAATTTTTTTTCTGATGACTATATTTGAATAGATCTCATAATGAGTGAGTGAGCGTGTGTGTGTGTGTGTGTAAATTTTTTAATTGAATCAAATGGTTTATTTTTTTGCGGTTTAAATAGCTAAAAAACTTAAGGGTAAATATTTTGCAAGTAATTTTCTTTATCATCTAAAAAAAAATGACTAATATATAAAACAAAGATTAGATCTCTAATGATTAAATTCACTTCTCATAATAAAATTTTTTTGAAAAATATTTTCGAATTTAAAAATAGCAAGGATTTTTATCTAACTGAAATTAAATGTGTAATTATATCGCAATGCTTATCGAGTTAAGAATTAATTGAATACAAATAGAGTTATTTACGATATTAATTATTGTGATAAGAAATGTATTTTATTCATTCAACAATAATATTAATTCTTTTTAGCAATTATTTTTTAATGGTACATAAATTAGTAAGCACTTTCTTATCTTTAATCACTTAAAAATAATTATTGAATTAAATAATAAATTATAAATTATCATTACATGATTCTATAATTTTATTAAGATTAGAAATATTGAACATGTCGATAAAAATATTGTAAAGTATAATTGTGGATATAATCATGAGATAAAAATAATTGAACCAGTAAAAAATTTTTTATATCCTATTAACGAACAAGGTGGATATCGCTTGAGTTAATTATATTTCACGCGACAGTAGATTATATGAGAAAATGACGCGCTGATGCAGAACATGCAAGAGTCTTTCAAAGGAAGTGTATACATAATCAATCACTGTCATTATAATGGCTAAATACATAAAGCTATAGCCAATAAATGGATAATACAAAGAAAACACATTACATCTCGTAAATATAAATCTTCAGCTTTGAGGATCCTTTTAATATTCGGGAGTTCTCTTGGACTTTGTCTTTTTAGTGATATCATTGCTAGCTAATCATCTTCTCAATAAAATAATGACGAATACTTGTTCACAAAAGTAATTATTTACAAAAATTTTTCCTCTTGAGTTATTTCATTTGCATTCACTATTTATTGTTATTTTTTTTTTTAATTTCAATGATAGTTGTTAAATTATATTTATATTATCAATTCTACATGTGATATTGTTCTTATTGTTTTTGCGTAAAATATTCCAATTTCATTTTCATTTACAGATTTTGAATACTAAATTTTTAAAAGTTATTTTGACTAATGACTCAATCACAGTATTAAAGTCGACTAAAATGTTATCTCAAGTTTTATTCAGTACACAGAAAAAAAGGTTCACTTAAGCCAAGAAAATATTTTTCTTCCTAATTATTTTATTAAGCGAAAAAAAAAATTTTTTTCTGACACAAGAAATTTCACTTATTCCAAGAAAATTCAGCCTCTTGCTTCAAAAAATTTAGTTCTTGATAGAAGTAAATTTTCTTGTCTTGAGAAAATTTCTCTCTTGCTCCAAAAAATTAAATATCAAGATAGAAGTAAATTTTTATTAATATTTTTATTGATTAACATGTCAAATGGGAAGATCAAATAATATTGAATCATTTTTTTTCATTCAATGTGTACAATTGCACGCTAAAATAATATAAAATGGGTATCAAATATTCAAGAGAAAAATTTTCTCAAGGTGAGAAAATTTTTTACTCAGCTGAAGTAGGTGGCGCTGCTTCCCTAAAGTATCTAAAAATCTTGATCAAATATAAAAATTTATTGTATCAACTATTTATGATAATTTGATTTAAGAAAAAATTACTTTCACTAAGAATAGAATTTAAAGAAAAATTTTTACTTCGGCCAACAAAACTTCGGTCTTCCTTCAGGCACCCGAAAATTTTCTTGAGCCAAGAATTTTGTTCTCCAGTCAAGAAATTTTTCTTTCTGAGTATCTAATGTCGCAAAATAAATCTGTCGGGTATCAAAAGCTATGCTCTTATTAGAGCTTTGAAGATTTTAACCGACCTTGACACCTTATACATTTAGCTTGTTTTAACACTCTTTTTATAAAACAATTGATATTTTTTTTTCCACTGTGTAAATTCTAATAACAATTTCGAGGTCATATTTTTAAATTAACATTATCTTAATCAATTATTATCGGTGATTGTTAGAAGTGTGCTTTCATATCTATTAAATTTATAACAACTAACAATATTATTATTATTTTATTTTTTCAGTATTTAATGAGTGGATGGGCGAGAGGTTACAGTTTTAGATGTCAACCAGTAGATTACTCAAATAACCCTATGGCGCTTAGGATGGTGAACGTTTGTTGGTGGTATTACTTCAGCAAATTTACTGAATTTTTTGATACGGTAATTTAATATTATAGTAGATGAATTTTTTCTTATATCCTAATATTTAATTAAATTTCTAAAAAAAAAAAAATAATTACTTTCATTTGTAGTTATTTTTTATTCTAAGAAAGAAGAATCAACAAGTCACAACTCTTCATGTAATTCATCATGGTGTGATGCCGTTTTCAGTATGGATGGGTTTAAAGTTTGCGCCTGGTGGTCATAGTACTTTCTTTGCACTTTTAAATGCTTTCGTTCATATAATAATGTACTTCTATTATATGATAGCAGCAATGGGCCCTGAGTATCAAAAATATATCTGGTGGAAAAAATATTTAACTACTTTCCAAATGGTAAGATAATTAATTTTTCAATATATCATATAGAAGTCGAGTTCTACCTATTTTCAGCTATAAAAAATCGAAAAATAAAAGTATTGCTCGTCTCATAAGCGAAGCGGGTGAGGTTGTGCTCTACACTCACCTTACAAAAATCAAGCGATTTCTTGAACTAAAATTGTCTATATTTACTTTCAATCGCACTTGTAGAATAATATTTACATATAAATCTAATGGAAAAATACTAGTTTCAACACTTATGACATTTTGCTTTTTAAATAAATAAAAAAAATGTTTAAAAAAACTATTCCGTGGACGTCCGGCTGTCAAATGTATGTATGAAAACTGGTGTGATGACGATAACTGCCGAAAAAATTAACTGATCAAGTCCATTTATTTTTTATACGCTTCAGTATGATTTAAATGACATTAAAGTTATCTGTTACTTGAAATTTTTTTGATTTTATTTAACATAAAGATTTGTTCCGAAAAAATTATTTTTAAAAAATTGCATTTTTTATTTTTTTAAATTTCTAGATGTCCATTTTTTTTTCTTATTTTTTTTGCCATAATTTATTTGTTATAAAATTTTTAAAATTATTAAATATGTGCTACATTAATTTTCATATGATATAAAACTAAGTCCTTTCGAAGATCACGGTCTAATTAAATGTAGTTTATTTATAATTAGCAATAAACTAAAAATCTGCTAATCGTTTTTATATCTATATCTATGTAAATAAGGTTCGATTACAATATATGCGCAGTACCTTTTCTTTTCTGGGTGGATAATGGCGCGAAAGATTTAAAAGTATTTGTATTTTTCATATAACCTGCATTGAAAATGCGAGTTTCAATGCCTTTTGAGCCAACCGAAACTAGTCAATTTCAGACCAATGCTACTGTTGCCGGGCAGGAATCAATCATTTTCTTCCCAGTGGGCAGAAAATGACGATTTTCTGCCCACGAGATGAAGTTGCAGCTTTATTTTCAATCCTATCAGAGTATCTTTTGTTTAATTATTTTATACCTTTATAATTGTCATTCTAACCGCTAAATGTACTGACATATTATAATTCTGTTACTAAGCATAAATAAGAATGACAAAAGAAAACTATTCAATTTACGAATAATGTTTAATAAAAAATAAACCATTATTTTCTTGAATTGTAGTTTTTAATTTTCTTAATAAGTTTTATAATAAAATGGTATTTTCGCTATTCGTCTAAAACTATCCAGTGCTGGTTGGCTCCAGACATTGAAACTAGCATTTTTAATGCAACTTATATGAAAAATATGTGACGCGGAATGAAACACGATTTCAGACTTGCTTCGCTGGGGCAGACAACTTCACTCTGGTCTGAAGTGGTTTTGTTTCATGCCTAGTCACACAATATACTATTATTTTAATCAATTTTATAATGGAAAATGAGATTATGAGGCGTGCACTTTTGGATTTTCCAAATTCTTTTCAACATGTTCTACTCTTCGATGGATTAAAAATAAAATTTGTTTTGATCAATAATTAAAATCTATTAATTCTATGATAAGTAAATTTTTCGATTTCTTATAAATGAAAATAGGTAGAACACATTTTTTTTTGTATTTAACATTTTGTAGTTTACTGAGTATAATTTATTAATGATAAAAAATTATTTAACAGGTTCAATTTGTTTTAATAATGAGTCATCAATTCCAATTGCTTTTCATAGAGTGTGATTATCCACGTAGTTTTATGATTTGGATCGGACTACATGGTGTTCTATTCCTCGGTCTCTTTTCCGACTTTTATAAAACAAAATATAGCTCGAATCGTTTAAAGGTGAAATTAAGTAATAATGGGACTTGTATGCCAGTTTTGGATGACAATGAATATAAAATTCAGCAAAATGGTAATTCAATCTACACAACGACTATATACAAAAAAGAATACAACAAGTCTTATACCAATGGCACCAATAACGGTTATGTTGTTAATAATAATACTGAAAAAAAGCTTGCTTAAAAAGTTGGCTTGTGATTGTCAACATTTTAAGAAAAAACAAAAAATTGTTTTGTTTGATTATTACAAACAATGTAAAGTCGTTTGTTTATTTTATTTACTTGATTAATTATTGGTGTCCGCGATAAAATCACGTTAATATGGACGCACATATAAATTTGTTGCGTGCCTGTTGCCTTAAACAGGCTCTAAGAACTTATAGGTTTTATTATATTATTATTATTATTATTTTGTGTCTCATAAATTAGTATGGATGTGAATAGATGTATGAATGATAGAGAATGTAAGTTTTGATATATGTTGTACAGTTTATTCAAGAAATGCGTAAATGCAAAGAATAATAATTTTCAAAATTAAGACTAGTATTTATACGATATAGATAAAATGTTTTGGTACAGAATTATAAATGATTTTCTAAATAATTAACGAAAAGAAAGTCCGACTATGTTCAACGTTGTTGTCATTTGTGAATTTATTTTTAAAAAGTTAATGTTCAAACTTGAAACATCGTCGTAACTGTGTAATAACCTATCCATGACATGGATTTATAAAAATTACTTAAGTGCAAAAACCATTAACTCCATTAAACTTTAAAAAGTAAAAAAAATAGTTTTTAAAATAATTTGAGTATTCTACAAATCAACGTAGTGATCAAAACAATTTCATAAATGCGCACAAATAAGAGAGTTGAGATGGAAAAAAAAAAATAACAAATAAATATAAATAAATAAATAAAGCGGTGTCTATCCAATTGATTGTTATTAAATATCTACATTACTATATTCCGATGTGTTCAAAGCTTGGATATTTAAAACTTTACTATTAGATAAATGAAAACTTAATTTATGACAATAGATTTTTTAATATATACCAAACTAATAATTCTGTAAATCATGAACCGTAAGATTTATACTGCAAGTCATAACAAAAACTTTTCTTTTAGACATTGACTTTTAAACAAGTCTGATACCAAATTATGCTTAAATAATTTTATGTTAATAGAATCCATAATCACTGTTCGAAGTTTCATGCTGCGTTTTTTTTTTTTTTTTTTTTTTTTTTTTTTTTTTTTTTTTATTATTCGTTATCAAATAACGAATTTTATTATACATACTAAAAAAATAAAAAAATTGAACTTTGTATGGTATTACTTCGTAAGTATTCAAGATTTTTTAACTTGATTTTTGGACTTGTACTCCGACTGCTGAACGAAGTGATTATTATAGCTCATAATTATTTAAATAGGCTATTATTTTAAAAGTCTTTTATTGCTTGCAATATTTTTCGCATAAAATTTTCAATTATACATATTTTTTTTTTTTTACGTGTTGATCTTAGTACAATACGAGATTAACAAAATTTTTTATTAACTGTTAATAATTATAACAATAATAGTAATAATTATAATAATAATAATAAAAATAATAATGACTTTATACTAATTTTATAACTGAAGTAAAAATAAAAATAATAATAATGACAAAAATAATAATAATAATCACAGTAAACAGGAACAAAAAAATTTACTAACCTGAATGACTTTGTTCCGAATTGTCTTGATTTATTTTTTTTATGAATATAAATTTTGTATAACTAATTAAAAATAGCGCAGTATGATATCTTGAAAATAATGCGTTAGATTATTATTATAAAAAATGTACAATTTGCGTTATTAAAATTATTTGTCATTTCGACCTTTTGTATGTAAATATTTTAAAGATGAATAACTGATTTTATTTATTGTATTCGATTATTTTGTGTGGCTTTATCATCAAAGCAATGAAATATTGTTAATTTTTGATTTAAATTACAGTTTTGAATATGAATTTTATACAATTAAAGTTTTTTATAAAGACTTATTGTCTTGCCTTGGAATTGTTAGATCACTGTAAACAATTAGGAAAAGGAGATTGTATTTCAAACGAAAGTATTTATTTTTTTTTCCAAAGAAAAAAGAATTATTTAAACACCTTTGATAATAAGTCTTGATCCTCGTCTATACATTCGTCTTATACTAAAACAAAATTTTCAACATCCTTGAATATACTGCGGACAATGATGTTTATTGATTTATTATTACATAAATTCAGCATTGTGAATAATATAATTAGGCTCTTATTGCTTGTAAATATACATAATTATCATTATCCAAGGTAATTATTAATAGAAAAAAATAATTAAAAAATTGTTAAATTGATGAGGAAAAAGACTCAAAAACAGCGTTGTCATGTACCTAATGTTAAACTTGAATATTTATTGATTCTCATTATATTTTTGTACATAATTGGGAAAAAAAACTTATGCCGAAAGAATAAATAAAAAAAAATTAAAATATAGGAAGCACCTTTTATCTATATAATTATTCTAGCTAATATTCATTTTAACTTTCGATGTGCAATCATTATAACATTCCTGTGTCTTTCTTACAAAAATTAATAATAATTGATTTGAAAGAAAAAAAAAATAATTTGTAATGAGCATTGAAAGTTTCAGTTAAAGAAATTGCAAATCTCATAAGTGAAGAAATCTGCCTAGTATGTAAACATAACCAATAGAATTAAAAAATTTATTTTAAACAAATTACAATCGAATAGAATAAATTTAGTCACAATAAAAATTAATTATTTCTAAATCAAAAAAATATAGACTCCGCATAAGTAATCACCAACATATCATATACTAAAATCATCTCTGAAACACGCTGCATCTTCTGGTATAAGTATTATTTCGATCGGTTCTGTAGTGGACAAAAAAACTAACTCTCCATTTATTAGTATAGATGTTAGAGACATTCGAATTTTTATTTCGTTTATAGTATGTGAAAAATTGAATTATATACTTTTTAATTTAGTCAAGTTTCAAATTTAATTATTGAGATACTTTGATGGCATGTATACGTATGTGGGATTATTAATAGTGGAACAATAATTTAATTCTTGGTACGTAGTTTGCCAAAAGTAAAATAATATCAAAGTAAAATAATGAGTTGGAATTTGCCCAGATAACATTACGCGCATCAACTTACATATATGTGAATTTATTGAGAAGCTTCAATCTATTCATCTTAAATTAAATAAAAAGAATAATTATGAAAATAAATGTTTTAATGTAAAATTTTATTGAATAGATTTTTCAGTAGAATAAGTAATTTAAAATTTATTTGTTAAAATATTTGATATTACATTTGATATAATTAATCTGCGCGATTCTGTCTCCTTAATCACTTGCGATCCAATTATTACCAACCCCAATGTACTGTATTGAATTTAATTCTGCACTAATGATTAAATTTGAATATTTATACATTCAATATTATTATATTGTATATCAATATTGTTATTTGTTAGTCATAGACCCGTGAACTCATTCATTATTTAAATTATCACACAGTAATTTAATTTATTTATTATAATTGCATCTGATCCCGTTGATCGTTTACCATCGAAAATTAATATAAATACATACTAACGTTATTATAAAAATTTTCATTATCCTCATATTTAAAATTAACATAACTTTCAAATAATATTTCTCATTTAATTGTAACGGAATAATTATAACTTGACAAAAAATCGGTATACATTTTGAAATTAGATAAATAATAATGAATTTTATAAAAACGAGTAAAGGTCGAAAAATTAGGCTCTTTGTATGCGCAAAAGTTTAGATTTGACCTTAATAGAACCATTTATTGGATTGCTTTTCTTGTAATTTGTAAATTCGGTTTTCGAATAATGAAACGACGTGCTTACAGTCTCTTACGACCTTATTACTAGAAACGTTCTCTCTACATTTCAGTCCTTTAGGTTCATGATCTTTTTTTTTTATTAGAAAAATTCTCTTTCACGATTGTTTCATTTTTCTGCCAACTGATATTTAAAAAAAAAAAAAAAAAAAAAATAAAATACTACAAAAATATATGCCAAACTTAATAAAAAATTAAATCGATAGAGCCATTATTTTGAATATTCCAAAGCAACTTCAAAAACCGTTCACTAAAAGTAAACTTATTATGAAATAATTCGTTTTATATTTAAAAAACTATCCGCAGTTCATATTAAAACAATGTCGCCTTAATTTGTCGTCTTTATGTACTCGAAGCTGTTGACTTGCTAACAACGAAAATAATCTGAAACTCTATAAAATATTCAGCTTATGTAAATGCATTGATTCGGCAAACAATAGCCTGGATAATAAATACTTAAAATTTCCATGACAAACATGAAAAACGAGTGTACACTTTAAAACGGGTAATTGAATATAAAGTAACAAAGACTCGGCAGCTTCTGTTTTTACCTCGAGTTTCTTCTAACAAGCGAAGACAGAAAGACTATTCTCCAGTGCGTGTTGTTATTTATCTTTACGGTCTAACACTTCGAAGGTATAAAAAAAAAATTAGAAGTAGGTGGAACAGATAGAAGGTAGAAGGTAGATGGAAGCCTGATGCTCACGTCGCCGCTGCTTAATTAGAGGTTAAAAGCACGTTGAGAATTTTCTCTCATCCACTAGCGGCTCGGGGCTGAGGGAGTACTTTATTTTTTCGCTTAGCTTTTATGGTATGCATGTATACGTACTTACATATGTATAAGTCCCGTGTACAGAATTACACGCAGCTATTATATGGAATGTTAGTATGTTTGTATTCGAAGGGTCTACACATGTAGTTGAGCTTGTAGTGCATACATAATACGACGGTGACGGTAGTTTCATCGTTACTCCAGAATAAACAACAAGTCCTCTCACGGGTGAGCAAACCGGGTTTGAGTTATCGAATTCCGTGAATATTGAAATTTTAGTTTTAGTTTACTTTGTTTAAGCACTACAAAATAAAGCACGTAATGGTAAATCTTGAAAGACAATTTTCCTTTATAAATATAAGAGCATCAATATCTTTTCTATATATATGAGTATATTGTAGCTAAAAGTTTTTCATTTGACCTCTTTATTTTTAGCTTTATCTTTACTACACGAGCTGCCTCTCTCGTGAGTTGTGTTTTTGTTTT